CACATACAAAATGGCCAGTGTGCTGGAGTTTCTTTTCCAAACTGCAGCCTATAGTGTAGAATAAATCTAGCATGGTTGGTAGTGTTGTGTAGGATGAATACCTTCTTTCAGGAAGCAGCATATGGAAACAGGCTGAGGAGGAGTACGAAGGTCATATGGTTTCATTCTCTCTCTCAGATGTATTGTATTCCATGACAGTGGTTAGGATGTACACAGGATGCCACAAACACACAGTCACAACACAATGGACACAATGAACCTTGCTAGTGTGATGAGTAAGCTTGTCTGAGAGCTGAAGACCCCCACACACACTTTCTGTCTCTCTCTCAAGCCCCACCTATCTGTTGTCCGTATCTCCCCTCCATCTCAATGAGTCCTGTGTCTCTGTCTGTTTTTCATTATTGTTTACTTTGGCCCTGCTCTGTTTATCCTGTCTCCTCCCCTCCTCTCTCTGTTTTGTCATACCCCTTATGCTTTTTCTCCTCCCTGCCCATCCACTTTCTTCTCTCTTCTCTCTCCCCTTCTCTCCATATTTATTTATCTTCCTCTCTCTCTCACTCTCTCGCTCTCTCTCTCTCCCCCCTTCTCTCCATATTTATTTTCTCTCTCTCTCTCTCTCTCTCTCTCTCTCTCTCTCTCTCTCTCTCTCTCTCTCTCTCTCTCTCTCTCTCTCCAGCCTTAGGCTCAGTGGACACAGGAAGTAGTTAAGTGATGTTGGAGTGTCTCTCAGATACTGTCTGTTACCCCTCTGGTGCTTATAGAAAGTCTGGACCACACACACACACACACACACACACACACACACACACACACACACACACACACACACACACACACGAACACACACACACACACACTCATACACAGAACAGAAGTTACAGAACACACACAATCTCATACAGAACATCCCTGCAAGTAAGTGAAATATATCAATCACATCATGTTTGTATAAGGTGTCACAAAGTGCCACACCAGTGACTGGCAGACAGCTAACAGAGTATTTATCTAAAACTGAGACCGGGCAGAAAAAGGTTATGCCTGTTTCATCAGCGAGCTACAACTTCATTTATTATCTTTATAGTTAATCCCTCCTCATTCTGGACACACCTACTCTGTCTGTATTTGGAGTAAGACACTGATCTAAGGTCAGTTTTGCTACCTGTAAGAACAGAGGCAGTATCTTTCTCTGCTAATACAGGAATTATACTAATGCTCTTGTGGCTGAATGGAAGCAAGTCCCCACAGCAATGTTCCAACATCTAGTGGAAAGCCTTCCCAGAAGAGTGGAGGCTGTTATAGCAGCAAAGGGGGGACCAACTCCATATTACAGTTTTTCTCAATTGCTAAAACACTAAACCCTATTGTCTGAACCAAATGCTCAGTTGCCTGAACCCACTGATTGAATCAATCACTCTTTTGGCAAAACCATAAGCACTTTTCACCTGTTTAGACATAACTTGCCAACACATTTTCATTGTGATGCACCCGTGCTGCATAATGGTGAGCACAGGTGACAAAAGTCAAACACAATTAGAGCACAGGTGTCACCACTTGAACACAACAACTCAAAATTGATCACACTTGTGGCTAATGATGTGAGGGAACATATACAGTAAGCCAGTTCAGAGAGCACTGGTTTGTGAGGCCCTACAATGGATAGAAATCTGAGAGGAAGAGTTTGTGTGAGAGGAGGTCGAGGTGGTCAGCGAAGACAAAGAACAGTAATATCTGATGAAATCAGAGCTACTGTGATTGACCATGTTCTTGTCCATGGTATGAGCATGAGGGAGGCTGGACAAAGGGTACAACCAAACATCAGTAGATTAACTGTGTCCACCATAATCCGAAGATTTAGAGAAGAGAACAGGTAATTACCTTTTTTTTGACATTATAGTACAGTATGTAAATGTTGACAGCAATTACTGTATGACATACTATATACTGTACCACAGTATACTGTAAGTAAATATATGTTTCAGTACATCACTGTACCAATGTACTGTAGTATTGTAATGGAGGGTTGGTCTAACTGTTTGTAGGCCTAGTATTCCATGTATATTTTTTGTAACTACATGTTCTCTTTTTGTAGAATTGAAAGACTGCCACATGGGGGTGGGAGGACAGATATGTTCTCTCCACACCAAGAGACCCTAATTGTTGATATGGTCCGTGAGAACAATGCCATTCAACTGAGCGAAATTCAGCAGAAGATCATTGAGGACCATTACAATTTTGAGGGTATCAACAGTGTCAGCCTCTCTACTGTTGATTGTGTCCTCAAGCGCAACAGGCTGCACATGAAACAGCTATACAGAGTGCCCTTTGATCGCAACTCAGACAGAGTCAAAGAGCAAAGATTCCAGTATGTACAGGTTGGCATATATCCAGACACATTCAATGTTGATTACTCTAAGTAGTGATTTACTGTAGTGGCCTAAATCACTTTTTCCGTATCACTTACAAAACTATATCTATTTCTAAAGAGGGTTTTTCAACTGGATGCAATGGAAAGACCCCATCAATACATCTACATGGATGAAGCTGGGTTTAATCTCACCAAAAGGAGAAGGAGAGGCCATAATGTGATTGGCCATCGGGCCATTGTTGGTGTTCCTGGGCAGCGTGGTGGCAATGTCACATTATGTGCTGCCATCAGCAATCAGGGGTTGTCCACCATCATGCCAACCTGGGGCCCTACAACACTCACCAGCTCCTCATTTTCCTCAATCACATGCGAGATGCTTTGTTAGGGCAGCAGGATGAGCATCCCATCTATGTTTGTTGTTTGGGACAATGTGAGTTTTCACAGAGCCCTCCAGGTTAGAGAGTGGTACAATATGAACCAAGGTTTTATCAATCTTTGCCTTCACCGTACTCCCCTTTCCTAAACCCCATTGAGGAATTATTCTCCTCATGGCGGTGGAAGGTATATGAACGCCAACCTTACACCAGGGTAAATCTCCTGCAAGCCATGGGACTTGCCTGTGGTGACATAGGTGTGGAGGCATGCCAAGCCTGGATACGGCATGCCAGGGGTTTTGTCCCCCGTTGCCTGGCCAGACAAAATGTGGCCTGTGATGTGGATGAAGTCCTGTGGCCTGACCCAGTACGGAGACATGATGCTGTGGCTGAGTAATGCACTTATTTGTATATTTTTGTACTTTATTTTTACATGGGTTTACTGTACACAAGTGGCAAACGCATAAGATTTCTGTTTGTTTTTACAAGTGCTACATGTAAATGCACAAGATTTCTGTTTTGTCTTTTTGTACAAGTGCTAAATGCACAGGTTTTTTTTGTTTTGCAACATGCATTTAGCCTACAGTGAACAATAAACATTTATTTCTCCAGCTTCATGTCCTGAGCATTGTGTTTTCTATTTTTCTACGTAGTGTTTAGTGACTGTTCAGTAGTGTTTTTTATTTTGATTGACTCGGGGCACGATTTGACAACATAGTTCAGTTTTGAGCACAGATTGAACTGTTTTGAGGTGAAAGTTTGGTTTTGCAAGAAGAGTCTGAGGTTTTGTGAATGTAGCTTGAAAATTGGGTTTTGTGTTCACAGTTAAGAGAAAAGGAGAGCAGCTTTCAAGAAATGTGTCTTAGCAATCGAGGAAAACTGTAATTCCCATTATTTTGGAATGAGATTTTTGACGAGCAGGTGTCCACATACTTTTGGTCATGTAGTGTACGTGTCTACCAGAGGCGCATCTCTGGCGTAAATATTGTTACTGCCAGAAGGTGCACTTCTGCTCTGCTCACCTGACATCCACTGTCTTGTTGAACTCGTTGTTAAACATGTAGTCCCCTGTAGCTCAGTTGGTAGAGCATGGCGCTTGCAATGCCAGGGTTGTGGGTTCGTTTCCCACGGGGGGCCAGTATGAAAAAAATTGTATGCACTAACTGTAAGTCGCTCTGGATAAGCGCGTCTGCTAAATGTAAATGTCAAAAGCATCGCTGATCTTCTTGTGGACCTCAGATACTACGGCCTCTACAACAGCAAATAAAAAAGACAAATCAAAACTGGTTAGCTGAAACTGGTGCCACCTTTATAATTTATCTTTAAGGGTTAGAGCAATATAATAACTAGCTTCTGATTGGCAGAAGGTTATACCTGGGATAGGATAAAGTATTCCTTCTAACCCCCCCCCCCCCCCCCCCCCCCCCCCCCCAAATTGTAAAGTGGTTATCCCACTGGCTATAGGGTGAACGCACCAATTTGTGAGTCGCTCTGGCTAAGAGCGTCTGCTAAATGACGTTAATGTGCCCTTGAGCAAGGCACTTAACCCTAATTGCTCCTGTAAGTCGCTCTGGTTAAGAGCGTCTGCTAAATGACTAAAATGTAAAATGTAAAAATGTTATCTTTCGTTGGTCCTGATGGGAGGACCCATATAAATCTAATCTATATTATATGTCTATGGGAGGACCACTCTAAACTGGTTGATTTTATTCCAGCAGTTAGATGCAGTATTTTACAACAAAAGCACCAAATGAAATAGGTAAATAAATTGTCAAATATAAGGCTCTGGCCATGCACACCGCCAGTGAATGTCAGTTTATGTGCTCTAATGTCTCATTTCAAGTATATTTCTATTGCACTGGGCAAAGACAAACTTTTTGATTGATTAACGAATTGTGAAAAATCTTACCTACATTTTAACAATGATGACAGTAGTTGTTGGCCACAGTGACAGGTAAAACTCACCGAATGCACGGCTGTTACGTGAGAAGAGCTACTGAATAAAAGCTGAGTGGTTTATTCGCGTCATTACGGTAGGGCTATATCGCTGCCACTAGCACGCCTTAAGTAGCGCAGTTGTAGTGGGACCTGTGAAGAGAAGGTGCGGGCTTGGGGAAGTCATAATTCTAGGCGGCTGCTATCACCAAATCGGCCCTCAGTGCACCGGGCTTAGTCGTCGTATTTCGAATTAAAACCACACGACCATAGGGATTTTCATATAATTGTGTCGATATTTATTAAATAATTTAATAGATCGCGCAATGACCTCTATCAACGTGAATAAATTAAAGTTAAACGAGTTGAAAGACGAGCTGAAGAAGAGGCAACTGTCCGACAAGGGGCTGAATGCCGAATTTATGGACAGCCTGCAGGCGGTGCTGAATGAAGCCGGAGGAGCTGAGGCGGGGGAGTACTGCAGCCAAGGCGACCGGGCAGTCGGACTGAATGACATGGGCGAGGAGGACCTGGATGAAGACCTGATTAGGGAGAGCATGGAGGCGGACGGATTGGAAGATGGAGACAGGGTAGAAGGGGGCGAAGCAGAGAATGAATTCGCCAATATCGATGATGATATGGGGGAGGAGGATGCGGGAGTAGATATGGATACATCGGATGAAGATGAACTACTAAAAGAAGATGATGAGGAGATTGATAAATTCGATGATGATGATGCTGCACTAAGGTCTCTCCCTGGAGAGGGTAAGCGATACAAGCCAGTTAATCGACCCTGCCAAGGTTGTTGAGCAGCGGCTAGCGTTCACGTCTTGAATAACAGTTCATCAAAGATATGTCAACCAGTTAGCCTGCTAAGTTAACCAGCTATTGTACAGTAGCTATATCGGAATTTATGCAAGGATCCAGTGTAGCTAGATAGCTATTTGTGGACTGTAATGTTTTGTATGGTTGCACATGACAGGTGTATGTTTACACGCACTGGTTTTGTGTGCCGGGTTTGCGTTTCTTCAAGCGGCAGACAAAGATACACTTGCCTGTGTGCAGATGATTGGTGTGGTTAGCTAGCTAGCTGTGCAAAACTGGCTAGTGGCGACGCACCTCAATACCTGCTTTGTTATTGTTTTATTTCCGAAGGGGATGCTGACAAAGACACGAGCGGAGAGCAGAAAAATAAGAAGGGTGTTAAGAGACGCCGGGAGGAACATGGAAGGGGCTACTTTGAGTTTATTGAAGAAAGCAAGTACAGCCGATAAGGATGGTGCAGTAGATGGGCCCTCGGTTAGCTCAGAGTCGCTTCGGTCTGTTGTGTTGACTTTAACAACCAACACAGTCCTAAATGTTAACCCTGACCCGGCTGCTGATATTTTTTTGTTTACATGTTCCTTGTGAAGAGGGCATAACCTTACTATAACCTGTTACTACTGAACACAGTGTTGCCACTGCAAACCCATTTCTGTAGGTAGCCTAATGGTGCTTGGCAGTTAGTGATAGGGAGGGTTATGGCGAAAAATGTATGCACTCACTAATTGTAAATCGCTCTGGATTTTATTGACAACCAAATGTTCCGCGACACAAAGACTACTCCATGGCTATTCTGAAAGTTCTAATAGAGGAGTCGAATAATGGAACACCCAATACTAGCCATGTAATAAAACACATTTATAGTATTTTATGAAGGGATAAGACAGCATTAGAAGAAAGGATAACTAGCAAAGTAATAACATCTTCAAATATAAATAATTAGAACACAAAAGTACTCAATCAACATGGTGGAGATAAAAACATAGCAAACAGAAGACATAGAAGGCACAGTATGTGGATATGCGTGGATGTATTGTGATGGAAGGTGTGGTGTGCGTTTTTGTGTTTGGAAAAGTGTGGCGTTAAGTGAGTGAGAAAGGAAATGGTTGCATATCCCAGAACCAATGTGTGTTTGTGAGCAGGGGTTGTGAGAGAGAGCTTTCAATTTTGTTCAGATGACTTAAAAAAAAAAAAAGTATACATACAAGTATACATCCCCATTTTTTTTTGTGTCCTATCATGATGGAACGGTCCCCAACCCTATATCCTAGACATCCACCTGACCGACCCATACACCAAAGAGAAGTCCCCATCTGTTTTATGGCCCTGCTGTAGGTTGCCTATATGCAGCCAAAACAGAAAAATTAATGCGATCAGAGACCTACTAGAGCAGCACCGCCCCCTCAAGATTCTGAGCCTGCCTGGCAGGGTTGGTCCTACAAAGCCAGAGCCCCCTGATGGGAGAGCATAATATACAAGGAAATTCTCAAAGCTGCTAATGAGAACCTTGACGACCTTGTACCTAGCCGGTGGGGTACCCCCACCCAGGTAGTGGCAGTGCTGGCAACACTGGCTGCAGTAACCCATGGGGAGAGGGTCACTCTGACAATCAGAGAGGGGGCATATTATTGTGGCCCTGGTGGCACAAAATAATCAAAGGTGCTTGGGAAAATGGTTACAACGGGGGACCAGAGTGTGTGTGTTTCAGGGGAAGGGGGTGGATTCTGATCTCCATCACCTAGGACTTGACATAGGTTAATCAAATCTCAATTATTTGGTCAATTTTTGCTCAATCTTGCATGCTTTCTCAAACAGCTGTAACTGTATATGCATTCATAAATCAGGTCCTTTCTTGAGTTGGGCTCTGGGATGTAACAACCAAGGGGTTGAGTGTGTTAGAGTATGTGCGTGTGTGTGTTTATCCCAAATCTATTGCAAGGGGGTAAGGATGTTAGGGAGAATATAGGATGAACCACTAATTGTTTGCTAAAATAATAATTGCGTGACAAAAATATAATGCAATGGCAATCCGGGTTATAGGTAACAATCCTTTGCATGAACTGCTGACATTATTACACATATTCATTGATAGTGATGGAAATTAAGATATGCAAGATATTTGAATAGATAAATATTTTTAAGAGCTATATATAAAGCAAATTGAGGTGAGAGCATTGGAAATGCTTTTGGCGGTTGACCTGCTTCTGTTTTATGGGTGGCACTGTGTGCTGTTTTCAAAGTATGGATCCTGGCCTTTCGGGGGCCTAGGGATCCGGGGGGACGGGGGTGGTCTGCCGATCACTGGGATGACAACCCAACTTGGGATGGGCAGGGGCTTTAGTGGGGGGAATAGTGGAGAACAATTGGAGGGTTACTTAGTAGCAATGCAAATATCATGGTACAGCTACAGTGAGGGAAAAAAGTATTTGATCCCCTGCTGATTTTGTACGTTTGCCCACTGACAAAGAAATGATCAGTCTATAATTTTAATGGTAGGTTTATTTGAACAGTGAGAGACAGAATAACAACAAAAAAATCCAGAAAAACGCATGTCAAAAATGTTATAAATTGATTTGCATTTTAATGAGGGAAATAAGTATTTGACTCCTCTGCAAAACATAACTTAGAACATGGTGGCAAAACTCTTGTTGGCAATCACAGAGGTCAGACGTTTCTTGTAGTTGGCCACCAGGTTTGCACATATCTCAGGAGGGATTTTGTCCCACTCCTCTTTGCAGATCTTCTCCAAGTCATTAAGGTTTCGAGGCTGACGTTTGGCAACTCGAACCTTCAGCTCCCTCCACAGATTTTCTATGGAATTAAGGTCTGGAGACTGGCTAGGCCACTCCAGGACCCTAATGTACTTCTTCTTGAGCCACTCCTTTGTTGCCTTAGCCGTGTGTTTTGGGTCATTGTCATGCTGGAATACCCATCCACGACCCATTTTCAATGCCCTGGCTGAGGGAAGGAGGTTCTCACCCAAGATTTGACGGTACATGTCCCCGTCCATCGCCCCTTTGATGCGGTGAAGTTGTCCTGTCCCCTTAGCAGAAAAACACCCCCTTAGCATAATGTTTCCACCTCCATGTTTGACGGTGGGGATGGTGTTCTTGGGGTCATAGGCAGCATTCCTCCTCCTCCAAACACGTTGAGTTGAGTTGAGTTGATGCCAAAGAGCTCGATTTTGGTCTCATCTGACCACAACACTTTCACCCAGTTCTCCTCTGAATCATTCCGATGTTCATTGGCAAACTTCAGACGGGCCTGTATATGTGCTTTCTTGAGCAGGGGGACCTTGCGGGCGCTGCAGGATTTCAGTCCTTCACGGCATAGTGTGTTACCAATTGTTTTCTTGGTGACTATGGTCCCAGCTGCCTTGAGATCATTGACAAGATCCTCCTGTGTAGATCTGGGCTGATTCCTCACTGTTCTCATGATCGTTGCAACTCCACGAGGTGAGATCTTGCATGGAGCCCCAGGCCGAGGGAGATTGACAGGTCTTTTGTGTTTCTTCCATTTGCGAATAATCGCACCAACTGTTGTCACCTTCTCACCAAGCTGCTTGGCGATGGTCTTGTAGCCCATTCCAGCCTTGTGTAGGTCTACAATCTTGTCCCTGACATCCTTGGAGAGCTCTTTGGTCTTGGCCATGGTGGAGAGTTTGGAATCTGATTGATTGATTGCGTCTGTGGACAGGTGTCTTTTATACAGGTAACAAACTGAGATTAGGAGCACTCCCTTTAAGAGTGTGCTCCTAATCTCAGCTCGTTACCTGTATAAAAGACACCTGGGAGCCAGAAATCTTTCTGATTGAGAGGGGGTCAAATACTTATTTCCCCCATTAAAATGCAAATCAATTTATAACATTTATGACATGCGTTTTTCCTGATTTTTTTGTTGTTATTCTGTCTCTCACTGTTCAAATAAACCTACCATTAAAATTATAGACTGATCATTTCTTTGTCAGTGGGCAAATGTACAAAATCAGCAGGGGATCAAATACTTTTTTCCCTCACTGTATCACTAAAAGCTTCAGTCATAAAAAAGTTATACTTAAATCCGAACTGGTTCTCTAGCAAATTAGTAAGATTGTCTCACCCCATGTTCAAGAATGGCCTTTTTCCCTTTATTCAGATTACAACCTCTCACTTTCAGTTACAGTTGAAGTCGGAAGTTTACATACACCTTAGCCAAATACATTTAAACTCAGTTGTTCACAATTCCTGACATTTAATCCTAGTAAAAATTCCCTGTCTTAGGTCAGTTAGGATCACCACTTTATTTTAAGAATGTGAAATGTCAGAATAGTAGTAGAGAGAATTATTTATTTCAGCTTTTATTTCTTTCATCACATTCCCAGTGGGTCAGAAGTTTACATACACTCAATTAGTATTTGGTAGCATTGCCTTTAAATTGTTTAACTTGGGTCAAACGTTTTGGGTAGCCTTCCACAGGCTTCCCACAATACGTTGGGTGAATTTTGACCCATTCCTCCTGACAGAGCTCGTGTAACTGAGTCAGGTTTGAAGGCCTCCTTGCTCGCACACGCTTTTTCAGTTCTGCCCACAAATGTTCTATAGGATTGAGGTCAGGGCTTTATGATGGCCACTCCAATACCTTGACTTTGTTGTCCTTAAGCCATTTTGCCACAACTTTGGAAGTATGCTTGGGGTCATTGTCCATTTGGAAGACCCATTTGCGACCAAGCTTTAACTTCCTGACTGATGTCTTGAGATGTTGCTTCAATATATCCACATAATTTTCCTTCCTCATGATGCCATCTATTTTGTGAAGTGCACCAGTCCCTCCTGCAGCAAAGCAACCCCACAGCATGTTGCTGCCACCCCCGTGCTTCACGGTTGTGATGGTGTTCTTCGGCTTGCAAGTACCCCCTTTTTCCTCCAAACATAACGATGGTCATTATGGCCAAACAGTTCTATCAGACCAGAGGACATTTCTCCAAAAAGTACGATCTTTGTCCCCATGTGCAGTTGTAAACCGTGGTCTGGATTTTTTATGGCGGTTTTGGAGAAGTGGCTTCTTCCTTGCTGAGTGGCCTTTCAGGTTATGTCGATATAGGACTTGTTTTACTGTGGATATAGATACTTTTGTACCTGTTTCCTCCAGCATCTTCACAAGGTCCTTTGCTGTTGTTCTGGGATTGATTTGCACTTTTCGCACCAAAGTACGTTCATCTCTAGGAGACAGAACGCTTCTCCTTCCTGAGTGGTATGACGGCTGCGTGGTCCCATGGTGTTTATACGTACTATTGTTTGTACAGATGAACGTGGTACCTTCTGGCGTTTGGAAATTGCTCCCAAGGATGAACCAGACTTGTGGAGGTCTTCACATTTTTTTCTGAGGTCTTGGCTGATTTCTTTTGATTTTCCCATGATGTCAAGCAAAGAGGCACTGAGTTTGAAGGTAGGCCTTGAAATACAGCAACAGGTACACCTCCAATTGACTCAAATGTTGTCAATTAGCCTATCAGAAGCTTCTAAAGCCATGACTTCATTTTCTGGAATTTTCCAAGCTGTTTAAAGGCACAGTCAACTTAGTGTATGTAAACTTCTGACCCACTGGAATTGTGATACAGTGAAATAATCTGTCTGTAAACAATTGTTGGAAAAATGACTTGTGTCATGCTCAAAGTAGATGTCCTAACCGACTTGCCAAAACTATAGTTTGTTAACAAGACATTTGTGGAGTGGTTGAAAAACTAGTTTTAATGACTCCAACCTAAGTGTATGTAAACTTCCGACTTAAACTGTATGTTTATGTATGTATGTATGTGTGTTATGTCTCGTCTAAAACAATCTCGGTCGACCAACATTCTAACGACCAAACAATGGGCCAGTCGACTAATTGGGATCAGCCCTAACGGGAGGTTGCCCTGACCCACGCACTGTTGGACAACAGAGTGGAGCAGTGGGACGAAGGAAAGCAACTGTGTCTCTGTCGGTTTTCTGTCTGTCCAGTAGTATTAAGCTTGGGCAATTTTCTTTTTTTTTCGCCTAGTAGGCTGCAATAAAAGTGTGTGTGAGAGATTATTTTCCTCTAATATTGATTGTATTTTCTCCTTACAGGCCAACGTCTTCGATACACGTGTTATAAACCCCTTCACTGGTGAACAGATAGATATTCTGTAGATCAACAAAACTTCATTTTAAACTGGTTGTACATATGATTCAGGATCTATGGAAAATAACTCCCATCACACATCTCTCCTAATGGCAAACAGAGCTGAATATCTTCACCATTATAGTTTTCTGTTATGTGTCCATCCTCATCTAAAGTGCATGAATGGTGTGTACGTTAGGTTTTTCTTAGAATGTTGTTGGAAGATCATACATCATATCACATACACCAAGAGAGAGGTTGCTAGTCTGATTTATTTTCACCAGAAGAAATGAATATCCAATGGTATACTAACATTAGTGAACATTAGGTGACATTTCTCACAGATTTGTTTATCACGCCCTGCAGTTTCATAGTGAAGATTGTGGCAGGCATTTGACCTTGACAACTTTAATTCCATTGTTGATCAATCTTGTCAGAACTGGTGCATGAAGTCTTTCCCCTAGAGTAAGTTGGGAGGCAAAGGCCCCCAAAGCAACATTTACTCCTTCATGCACCTAAGTAGTCAGTTAAAACCAATAAAAGCAAAACTCTTTTAGATAGTTTTTGTTGAGTGAGAAAGACGTGCCCCTCCGGTGTCCTCCCCTGCCTTACCCCTCCTGCCTCACCCTTCCTCTTGCTCTCTTCCAGGGCCAAGTCCCCCCAGCCCCCCCCCCCCCCGGAGGAAGAAGATGAGGAGCTTGACGACACCACCGTCTGCCTGGACACCTGTGAGTAGAATTTATTAGAAGATTGAGCTGTGATCAATGTGTGATAGTGACCAATTGTGTTCATATTCACTGTGTGTGTGACCACAGATAACAGCGACCTGCACTTCAAGGTGTCCCGGGACCGTTACAGCGCGTCATCCCTCACAATGGAGAGCTTTGCCTACCTGTGGGCTGGAGGCAGAGCTTCCTACGGAGTTGCTCAGGGAAAGGCCTGCTTTGAGATGAAGGTGAGGAGAGTCATCGTCAACAACACACACACACCAGATTTACATTTAACAGCCATTTGTAAATTTACCGGACCCATTAGGGCGTCCACCCACGGTGCTCAGAATGACCGGTAAGCAAGGTAAGACATGCCTCATAATATGAAGTAAAACGTTCAGGTTTACAATAACTAAGTATATGTTTTCAAAACTCCAGTTCACATTGCAAAGTGGTGGGTGACGCGTTGATAGCCTGTCTACCATTGCCTATATGCATTTGGAGGTGCGCTTCAATTACCAGTTGAGAAATAAAAATAGTACCTCTTTTTAATCGTGGCCATCAAAACTGTTTTTAACACGTGATTGCATTTAGTTGTTTGTTGCGTAATGACTGGGCTTATAAAAGCACGTTTCACTCCAGCAGCAAGGACCTGCAGCTCTAGCACTGTCTGAGGTGATATTCCGCTCAAAATAGGCTCTGTCTGTATGTTGTGCACGTTTGATAAAGAAGATGCATGATGACTAACGAAAATACACAGGCCAATTAAATTCCACTAAATTATGCAAATTAACCGATAGACTGATAAGCATGCCGGTGAAATGTATTTACTAGTGATGGGAAGTTCGTCTCTTTTTACTGACTCTGATCTTTTCTACTCCTTCAGTCAAAAGAACAAAGACTCTGTCGTTCATTTGGGTTAGTAATTCCCAGAGCACCCAGGACCCCCTACCGGCGAACGATGAACTGAAAACTCGATAGAGTCATCGTTCTACAAGCCTCTCGTTCACGTTGTTCACCATAGAGGGCTTATTGGAGCTGTTAATTGTGACTGAGACTTGTAAACGTGTGCTTTAAACAATGTATTTGTTGATTGCTAGGCATGCAAATACGATTATTTCTTGATACATTTGAAACAAGGTCTTGTTGAGGCTGCCACCGGACTCGATTGTGAACGACTCTTGGCGGAATGCGTTGCTTGACTGCCGTAAGAGTGATGAGCACAATGTCATTTGTGAACTGCAGCCCCCCCCCCCCCAAACTATTTGTTTGTTGAGCAGAGGCTGTGTATGTTTTGGTTTTACAAAGCTGTGTCAATCATAACATTCAATAATCAGTTAATTGCATTCATTCTTGCACCAAGCAAGATATTATCAGTTCTAAACATTTTTGTCTTCTCTATGCTCAGTATCTATTTTCATGCGCGCATATGACAGACAGATGTCGGAACACGTCTCTGGAGCTGCTGAGCCAGAGGAGGGTGTATTATCCTGGTAAATGATTCATTGCAGCCAACACTAACAGGTCGGATGAACGACTAAAATGAACGAGTCACTCAAAAAAATGAATCATGACTCTCGAGTCAGTAAAAAGAGTCGTTCAAAAAGAACGAATCATTCGAATTGCACATCACTAGTATTCCCATCAATGGAAAAAATGATTATTTTGCAGTGGGATTGTTTTTATTCTCCCGATCAATTTGGCCGGCATTTATAGGCTTTAAAAAAAGAAAATTGTCCAAAAGCCGGCAATTACCGGCTAAAGGAAACCCTCACACACACAATCCTGGATTAAAAATAATCACATTTATTTTATAAAGCCCTTTTTACATCAGCAATTGTCACAAAGTGCTTTACAGAAACCCAGCCTAAAACCACTGATGATTATGATGATGATGGTCTGTTTTGAGATGGTAAAGATACAGAACATCATGACAAACACACACACACACACACCTCTCACCCTCAGTGTGTTCTCCCCAGATCATCGAGAAGATCCCAGTAAAACATATCTCCAGTAAAGGCATAGACATCCACGAGGTTCTGGTGGGCTGGTCATTAGCCAATGGAACACTGTTACTGGGTGAGTGAGCTATTAGACCAGGAATGGGCAACTTTGATAGGGGTGGGGACCACAAGAAATCGGAACTCATCATGAGGGGCCACAGTGGCTTGAGGGTCTGCCTACCCACATCCATACCCACACATGCAATCCGAACCGGCCCTAGCCTTTTGGGGGAAATCCACCAAAAAATTGCTGACATGGGATAATTGAGTGACTGTCAGTAGCAAGGTTCCATCAAATTGGCGACCGATTTTCATAGGAATATTCTACAATCCGCACAAAGAAAATATGCAAATTTTCCCACCAGTGGTATGTTTCCACCAAATTGACTTGTTGCGGTTAAAAATCAATGCGTGATGACGTGAATTCGGAAAATATTCAGACCCCTTCACTTTTTCCACATTTTGTTACTTTACAGCCTTATTCTAAAATTGATTTTAAAAATAATAAAAATCATCAATCTATAGACAATACCCCATAATGACAAAGCGAAAACTGTTTTTTTGATTTTTTTTGCAAATATATTAAAAATAAACATACCTTATTTACATAAGTATTCAGACCCTTTGCTATGAGACTCGAAATTGAGCTCAGGTGCATCCTGTTTCCATTGATCATCCTTGAGCTGTTTCTACAACTTGGAGTCCACATGTGGTAAGTTCAATTGATTGGACTTTATTTGGCAAGGCACACACCTGTCTATATAAGGTCCCACAGTTGGCAGTGCATGTCAGAGCAAAAACCAAGCCATGAGGTCGAAGGAATTGTCCGTAGAGCTCCAAGACAGGCTTGTATCGAGACACAGATCTGGGGAAGGGTACCAAAACATGTCTGCAGAATTGAAGGTCCCCAAGAACACAGTGGCCTCCATCATTCTTAAATGGAAGAAGTTTGGAACCACCAAGACTCTTCCTTGAGCTGGCCGCCCAGCCAAACTGAGCAATCGGGGGAGAAGGATCTTGGTCAGGGAGGTGACCAAGAACACGATGGCCACTCTGACAGAGCTCCAGATTTCCTCTGTGGAGATGGGAGAACCTTCCAGAAGAACAACCATCTCTGCAGCACTCCACCAATCAGGCCTTTATGGTAGAGTGGCCAGACGGAAGCCACTCCTCAGTAAAAGGCACATGACAGCCCGCTTGGAGTTTGCCAAAGGACTCTCAGACCATGAGAAACAAGATTCTCTGGTCTGATGAAACCAAGATTGAACTCTTTGGCCTGAATGCCAAGCGTCACGTCTGGAGGAAACCTGGCACCATCCCTACAGTGAAGCATGGTGGTGGCAGCATCATGCTGTGGGGATGTTTTTCAGCGGCAGGAACTGAAAGACTAGTTAGGATCGAGGGAAAGATGAACGGAGCAAAGTACAGAGATCCTTGATGAAAACCTGCTCCAGAGTGCTCAGGACCTCCGGCTGGGGCGAAGGTTCACCTTCCAACAGGACAACAACCCCAAGCACACAGCCAAGACAACGCAGGAGTGGCTTCGGGACAAGTCTCTGAATGTCCTTGAGTGGCCCAGCCAGAGCCTGGACTTGAACCCGATCGAACATCTCTGGAGAGACCTGAAAATAGCTGAGCAGCGACGCTCCCCATCTACATTAGCAGAAATTTCTAAAACCCTGTTTTTGCTTTGTCATTATGGGGTATTGTTTGTAGATTGATGAGGGAAAAAACTATTTAATCAATTTTACAATAAGGCTGTAAATAAATGTGGAAAAAGTCAAGGGGTCTGAATACTTTCCGAATGCACTGTAGTGCAAACAAAATGCACTTTGTCGCTAAAGTTTTAATGTACCGAATCAAAAGTTAAATGTTTTTCCATCGCATTTCCAACCGCTGGCAGATACAGTGTGGGTAGGCTGTGCGAGTTGGCTAGTCTACATGATGAGACTATTATGGATAAGAGCGAGAATATTTTTATTTTTCAAACGGCAGTCAAGCATCGATCATCATGTCACCAGAATAAGAACCCTCAATATTTATTGGAAAGCAGCATCAAGCTCATCACCTTCCACTTTCACCACCCTGTGAAGTTCATCATCTTATTTCATCTGTAGCGTAATAAACTGCATGGTTTCCAGATTTGTAGTGGGAGGACCACCCACCATATCATCGCGTGACTCCAAATTTACCTCGATCTGATGGTTATTATATCAATATATGCGCATAAAGGGGTTTCCTGCGCCATTTCCCGCATAATTCATTTTACCGACACAAAAAGATCCCACCATGTCGAACGAACAAATTATCTGTTGGCATTTATAAAATTCCACAAACTTCCTGTTTCCTTCACAGCTGTTGTGATGTATTTTTTTTTTTTATACAATATGACTTCGCTCGCATAAAAACTGTGGATGGAAACGCTGATACACAACCATTTGAAATTTCGAAATTGCACCTTGTGTATTCTACTATTCTAACTCTCAACAGTAAGTTGAGACCCCGAATGAGTTCCAATTTTTTAAAATAAATCCCTGCATTAGACCAACCAATAGAATTCAGTGGACTCCTGATATATGCTAAGGGAAACCCCTGGTGTGTTGTCCATATGTATCATAACTCCCTGTCTGACTGTGTGACTGTCTGCTTTGATGTCCTCAGGAGAGGAGGAACACTCGTATGCCTTCTCTGCCAAAGGGAATAAAACCACCAACTGTGTCACAGGACTTCAGAGAGTCCTTTGACGAAAACGATGTCGTTGGATGCCTGATCGTAAGATATTTCAATGATCACTTTGTCACATTTCGCTCAAAGAGCTAAATAGCCACTTTTTGTCTCAAAATAAGATGTCAATTTTATTTTACAGCTTTACTAGTGCAGATGAAACTGCTGCTGATGATGTTTTGTTTGTCCTCCCTCCTCCAGAACTTTGAGGGCTCGGAGGTAGAGGTGTCCTTCAGTAAGAACAGCCAGGACCTGGGCCTGGCCTTCAAGGTGGACAAGGCCTCTCTGGAGGACGGCCCCTCTTCCCTCACGTCCTCTGTCACAACTGTGCTGTAGAGTTCAACTTTGGCCAGAGGGAGGCGCCACTGTTCGCCCCGCCAGACGACTACAGCTTCCTACAGCAGATCCCCGTCAGTAGGAGGGTTCGAGGCCCCAAAGGGCCCGACACCAAGGACGTCTGTTGAGGTGAGTGTGTGTTCGGTTTTCCTTTTATTGAATCCCATTCAATGTTTTCAATTCTGGACTCCCCACACTCACTGTATCCCACATTTGACCACACGGCCCATTGAAAATGCATTAGTCATTCACGTTGCGCACGTTGCGGCCATTATTAAAATGGCCCTTACTCACTCTTGTCAATCACCCAGGTGATCGTGATGGTAGGGCTGCCAGGTGCTGGGAAAACGGAGTGGGTCACCAAGCACACCCAGGAGCACCCTGGGAAATACAATATCCTGGGAACCAACACCTTCCTGGAGAAGATGATGGTGAGTGGTGTTTAAAGGGACAGGACAGCTCACCTTAAAGGGACGGTTCACCCCAAAGTCAGATGATTCCATTCCTCAAAATTCTCTGCTCTCCTCTGCCAGATTGACAGTCTGAAACGCCAAATGAAGGATGTCACCAAACTTACCGCCATCTCCCAGCGTGCACCTCTCTTCCTGGGGAAGTTCATAGAGATCGCTGCTCGCAAAAAACGCAACTACATCCTCGACCGGGTAACCACTGAAGCTTTTGATTTTGTGTATTTGTTCAATTGTCGTCTGGATAACTTATGGAAAATAAAATCACAAAAGATTTGGCTAATTCATCATCGTCATCATCCTCATGAGCAAGAAATACAACTCAGTTCTGTGTGTGTGAATGGAATGATTTCTGTAGTTGAATGGGTGGATATGACTTTAACCCTGGTACCTGTCTCTCCGCCTTCTCTCTATCACAGACCAATGTGTCCGCCCCAGCCCAGAGGAGGAAGATGTGTCTGTTTGCAGGCTTCCAGAGGAAGGCCGTGGTGGTGTGTCCTACTGACGACGACTACAAGCAGTGGACGCAGAAGAAAGCCGAGACAGACAGGAAAGACGTTCCCGAGCACGCCGTACTCAAGATGAAAGGTGAGCTACCACAACCTAGAACACCTGTTACCTGTATCAATAACACATGAGAGCTTATGTTACATTTTAGTCCTTTGGCAGACGCTTCTATCCAGGCTGACTGACTAACTTGTTAGGGGTTGATATAACTGATTCTATTTCCCTCCCTTCCTTCTGTAGGTATCTACACCCTGCCGGAGCCAGGGGACTGCTTCAGCGAGGTGAGCTACGTGGAGCTGCAGAAGGATGAGGCCTCCAAGCTGCTAGACCAGTATAAGGACGAGAGCCGCTCTGCCCTGCCCCCAGAGAAGAAGGCCAAGAGAGGGGGAAGCAACCGCGGCCGTGGGGGCAGAGGGCAGAGGGGAGGAGGTCAGAGACAGAGGGGGGGGCCGAGGAGGCTTCCAGATCAGAGGAAACTTCAGGGGGGGTAAGGAGTGTCCCTCTAATACCTGAAGAGTATGTCAGTATGTGTGTGTAAATACTTGGTTTGGTATGTACTATATACTGTATATTGATCTGTGTGTTTCTCTAACCAGGACCTCGTGGTGGATTCAGTCCCCCTCCTCAAGGTTTCCTCCCTCCTCCGGCCTTCCGAGGGGGGTTCTCCAACCGGGGCAACATCAACAGGGGGGTGGGGGCATGCCAAGCAGGGGGGGCACACCCAGGGGGGGTCCTGGCAGGGGTAACATGGGAGGTAACAGGGGAGGCAGCATGACCCGCGGAGAAGGAGGAAGACGAGGGGACAACAGGGGCAATTTCACACAGGTGGGTCACTGATTAATGTACCTGATAGTATTGTTGACTAAGTATTCTTGACTACAACTGTCCCGAGTCTGACTGTATCAGCTAGAGTGGGTTGTTGGATTATTGCATTTCTATATAGGTTTCTGTATATAACAACATATATTTGTACAACTCACCAATTCTGCTGGAGGTCAGCTGGCAGTCCCAGGTGTCTGATGGCTGTTGTTTTCTGCAGAAGTTCAGAGGCAGAGCAGGCAACAACCACAGCTTCAACAAGAATGGCAACTTTGGCAAGAACAATGCCCAGGCCTTCAACCAGAACTGGCAGCAGGGGGTATGTACTGCTCCTGATGTAGCTGGACATAGAGCAGTGCAGCGCAGGCAATGTTTGCACCGTAGAAATATAATCTAGATGGTTTGCACCTTAGGACCAATAGAATGGTTCAAAACTCTAACCTTTTACCTGTGTCTTCCAACTTTTAGTTCTGGAACCAGAAGCCATGGAGCCAACAGTACCACCCAGGATACTACTGAGCATGTGCGGTAGAGAGACTGACTGACAGCACACACACCCCCCACTACAAACCCCGTCCACCCTGGCGCATTCGCGTCAACTCCCGTTACTCTCCATTTTACCTTCTCTCCTCCTTTTTCCCCTTCCTTTGTTTTAAGAAGAAAAAGCGTTCCACATCTTAGATGACTGTGGGTTCTGAGACAAAGACAACAAATGCTTTCTGGGCTCCTTTACGTTCTGCATTTTTGATTTTGTATATTTGTATGGCTTCTACATTTCAGGTCCGGAGCTCGTAAGCGTTCGCCATCAGAAACCTTGACTTTCATCCAGCGTGGGATGGCTCTTAAACTGTTCAGGGTTCTGTGTTTCATCTGTAAATATGTACTTTTTACTACAACGATCATGATAGATATTTCTGTCTGATATTTTCCTTAATATTCTGGGTTTTTTCAGAATAAGGAGAGGCTAGCACTCCTTCAGACGTATTTGGCAGTCGTGAGATGTCGTAATTCTAGTCCTGCTGCAAAGACAATTTCTCGTAGATTAAGTGAAGTTTAAGCTGGAATAAAAAAGAACAACCTTCACATTTTTTATGGTAAGAGTCTAATTTAAGTCACGGAAAGCCCACGTCTACAGTAAACAGGAATTGCTTTCAATGGTGCTGCTTACTTGGTATTAAAATCCATATTTCTGTATGTCAAAGAAGAGCCTTTGATATGAGACGCACGCTCTCAGATAGAGTAGCAGTCTGTTTAAATCAATACAATGTCTATGGCTTAGCTATATCTTGTTTCAGTATCTTATTAATCCAAACTAAAGACCAAGGCCGTCCTTCTGTAAGGCACTTATTTATCTGTCTGAGTGGTCACTGACTCAGTACTCTGTACCGGACCAAATGGGCCACTCCATGATGCCTGGGGCGCGTTCAGTTGAGCACAACTTTGTCTAACTTTCAGATAGACAAACATTGTTTAGAACAGATGTGCCTCTCTGACACGTAGTGTAAGGAATCATGTCAGCTCTGTTACTGACATTTCTATCTGCAACGTTCAGTACATTGCACCCTCCTGAACACGAACCTGCTCTCCTCAACACCTCTGATGGCCTACTGTTAGCAGTAGAACTCAAATCTAAAATCCCTCTGGTAAGTCCTAGAAGGCCCATATTGACAGAGACATATATAATAGTCCAGCAAATAGACACGCTTTTATCTTAGTTTGATGATTTAAAGTGCTTAAGTTTCCATAGTAATGTAATTTAAGTAATGATACTTGTTTATTGTAAATACTTTAAATTATTTTGATTGTAGAACTGTTATAAAAAGGTAGTCCTTTTCGGTGGATGCAGGTTGTGGGTGGATGGGAGGTTATTTGATGTTGCTTTGTTAGAATGTATTTATTTTTAACTGTCAAAGTATATATTATTAATTGACATTTGGAAATCATGTTGCCTTGCATCAGTGCTTTTTGTAAAGGCAATACCTTGTTGTGAGTTACACTGGAATATTTAAGCTGGGTTCACTCAGACAAACCTGCTAAGGACCAGGTTGATCATGTTAGTCCAAGAGTGAAATGTTTCAGTTGGGGAGCACCCTGTGTGTACAGTATCTCTGGTTGTCTGCAATATTGTAAAAAAAAATCTTAACAATTAGACAGTCCCCATTGCCTAGAACGTTCCATATACAGTATTGTACATGGTATGACACTGATGGGGGGATTTAGAATTTTGTGCAGTAGTATTTACTGATTGCCGGAAACAGTGAACACAATTGCACACTTCTCTTCTGATGAAAACAATGTGTTATATTCTGTGAACAAAATACTTAAGTGGATTTTGTATTCACTGAGGACATTTGTATTTAACGTTTTGCAAAAGGTGGTCTAAGATAAGCAAGTAAGGCAAAAAAATGTTATCAGAAGTTCTGTTATTGTATTTAAGCATTTGATCATTGCTGTTCTGTAATAGATACGTTTCAACACAGATCCAAAAATTGCTTTTAGATTGAGAAACTGTAAAACACACATTAGATACTTGACCCATAAATAAAACCTACCGGTACCTTCTACTGTAGCATTATTCAAGGGGAAAAAATGCGTGCCTTTTGTGATTCCATGGAAGCAGAAAAAGGACGATATTTACATGACAGTCAAACTAGGTCTGGCCTGGTACCGTGGTCCTCTGCTCTCTACTACGCCACACTGTAAAACAACATGGTTCTGCACGGGACATATTAGTAATACTAAAATAATGAACCTTTTCAATGTAAAAAAAAGTGACAAAAATACAAAATTCCCTTGCGTTGATGACATTTTACAAATCCAATCAGTTTTCCACGTTGATTCAACGGCATCACATCCCCAAAAAAATTGGGGGGGACAATATTGATTCAACCTGTTTTTGCCCAGTGGGTTGGTCAGTCAGTCTATACATTGGAACTCAGGCACCCAGTAAAAAGCTTGACAATAACTCAACCCACCAACCCGCTGTAGGCTATGTCCCACACAATAGCTGAAACAGTAGGCAGTAGTAACATTTTACTTCAGCCTGATTGAAGTGCTTCTCTGAGAAGTCAGGGTTGTTCCACTGTGTTTGTCTCACAAGACATTTAATCTACAGTTCAATTCAATAAATAGAACAAAACTGTTTTACATCATTGTGGTTCTCCAAAAGACAATTCTTTGACAAGCAGGGTTTTGAAGTGGCAACAGTAAACATACTATACAGTACAGATAATTAAATTGGGTTATTTCTAAGTAACTTTGGGTTACTTACTCCGAAGTCATCTTCAACAACGTGACCTTCCATTATAGAGCTCTGCTTTGGTGTGGATTGAGGCCTATACAGTGCCTTCAGAAAGTATTCATACCCCTTGACTTATTTCACATTTTGTTGTGTTACAGTCTGAATTCAACATTTATTAAAATATTGTTTATCCACACACAGTACCCCATAATGACAAAGTGAAAACATGTTTTTTGGAACGATTGCTAATTTATTGAAAATGAAATACAGATCTCATTTACATAAGTATTCACACCACTGAGTCAATACATGTTAGAATCACCTTTGGAAGCGATTACAGCTGTGAGTATTTCTGGGTAAGTCTCTAAGAGCTTTGCACACCTGGATTGTACAATATTTGCACATTAATATTTTAAAAATTCTTCAAGCTCTGTCAAGTTGGTTGTTGATCATTGCTAGACAGCCATTTTCAAGTCTTGCCATAGATTTTCAGTCCGATTTAAGTCAAAACTGTAGTTAGGCCACTCAGTATCATTCAGTGTCGTCTTGGTAAGCAACTCCAGTGTAGATTTGGCCTTGTGTTTTAGGTTATTGTCCTGCTGAAAGGTGAATTTGTCTCCCAGTGTCTGATGGAAAGCAGACTGGTTTTACTCTAGGATTTTGCCTGTGCTTAGCTCCATTCAGTTTCTTTTTATCCCCCCCAAAAACTCTCTAGTCCATGCCGATGACAAGCATACCCATAACATGATGAGCCACCGCCATGCTTGAAAATATGAAGTTGTACTCCGTGATATGTTGTGTTGGATTTGACCCAAACATAATGCTTTGTGTTAAGGACATAGTTAATTTCTTTGCCACATTTTTTGCAGTTTTACTTTAGTGCCTTATTGGTGTCTCCCGAGTGGCGCAGTGGTCTAAGGCACTGCATCGCAGTGCTAGCTGTGCCACTAGAGATCCTGGTTCGAATCCAGGCTCTGTCGTAGCCGGCCACAACCAGGAGACCCATGGGGCGGCGCACAATTGGCTCAGCGTCGTCCAGGGTAGGGGAGGGAATGGCCGGCAGGGATATAGCTCAATTGGTAGAGCATGGCGTTTGCAACGCCAGGGTTGTGGGTTCGATTCCCACGGGGGGTCAGTATGAAAAAATATATATATATAATGTATGCACTAACTGTAAGTCGCTCTGGATAAGAGCGTCTGCTAAATGACTAAAATGTTATTGCAAACAGGATGCTTTTCACTCTGTCATTTAGGTTAGAATTGTGGAGTAACTATAATGTTGATCCATCCTCCGTTTTCTCCTATCACAGCCATTAAACTCTATCTGTTTTAAAGTCACCATTGGCCTCATGGTGAAATCCCTGAGCGGTTTCCTTCGCTCCGGCAACTGAGTTAGGAAGGATGCCTGTTATTTTGTAGTGACTGGGTGTATTGATACACCATCCAAAGTGTAATTAATAACTTCACCATGCTCAAAGGGATATTCAGTCTGCTTTATTTTTTATTTTTACCCGTCTACCAATAGGTGCCCTTCTTTGCGAGGCATTGGAAAACCACCCTGGTCTTTGTGCTTGAATCTGTGTTTAAAATTCCCTGCTCGATTGAGGGACTTCACAAATAATTGTATATGTGGGGTACAGAGATGAGGTAGTCATTCAAAAATCATGTTAAACACTATTATTGCACACAGAGTGAATTCATGCAACTTATTATGTGACTTGTTAAGCAAATGATTACTCCTGAACTTATTTAGGCTTGCCATAACAAAGGGGTTGAATACTTATTGACTCAAGACATTTCAGCTTTTCATTTTTAATTAATTTTTAAAAATGTCTGAAAACATAATTCCACTTTGACATTATGGGGTATTGTGTGTGTAGGCCAGTGACACAAAATCTCAATTTAATGCATTTTAAATTCAAGCTGTAACACAACATAATTGGGAAAAAGTCAAGGGGTGTGAATACTTTCTGCAGGCAGTTGTGTTCCTCCATTGTATTCACCTTTCCTTATTTCTATTGTGGATAGTGTTTCTGTGCACCAATGGAAAGTCTACAAAACAATGAGCAAACCAGCCTTTATATTGAATACATGGAACTGGATGATACTTGTGATTATACCGATGAATGAATCCTGACCACAATGTGCTTATTAAATGTTTTATCAGGAATAATATTTGATGTGTATGAAATTGTTTGGTGAAATATGCATTAAAGGAGAGTAACTGCCCATAATTCTGCACCTTTGGATAGCTGTACTTCCAATTTTGATCATCATG